TCACTACCGAAAATCTACACACTGGCTTCTTATAGAGTGCGAAAGTAGTTCTATGTTGCTCTTTTAAACCCCATTGTAGGTGGGATACCAGACAGAAGAAAAAGGTTATTGTTTTTACATTGTTAACTTAGACCATCAGACCTTGGGCTCTATTTTCGTGTCCGCCGGCGACATGGCAGAGGGTGGCGAACCCCGCGCAGTGGCATTTTTTGTCTGTCGGAGCTCGGCGCACAGCCAGTTTGGTATTTTTGTGGACTGAGGTGCACCGAGGTCCGCCAAGCGGGGCGTGGATGTGTGGCAGGGTGAGGTGTCCACAGAATCAGCTGGCGCAGTGACATTTTCGTGCTCGCTGCCAGCGTGTAAAGTGCGCTGAAAGCTCGCTGATTCAAACCTGGTCAGCTTTCAGCGCAGGTGGAGCTGGATGGGCTAGAGGTATTTTGGGAGACCAGCGGCATATTGGCCTCACCAGCAGGTTTCCACAGTGTCAGGAACATTTCAGTGCAATAAATAATCAATAACAACTAATAATCTGAGTCAGCACATACATTTAGATCTATACAGATATATTCTGATCTATATCTGATCTGATGAGCGCATTTGGCACGCGTTTGGACACACAGCCTGACCGAATCAACACAGCTGAAACCGCATTAAATTAAATATCTAGTAAATAGACACACATGATGAAGTGAACAAGATATTTAATTTGTCTCCCCCCCATTTCTATCTTCCTCTTCCTCTTATTTCTCGCGCAGCTCGACCTGGACATGTCTCCGTGTCCTCTCTCCGTCCTGCTGCAGCTGCTGCTGCGGCGGCTGAACAGATGATTTGTTTCAGTGATCAGATGAGTTATTTACTTTAAGCCTATATACGGATATTATAATATTCAGTTTTGTGAGCCAAATTTATTTTATATGCCAACATCTATGAAAGAAAGAGCCAGGCCACAGAGCGCAATTTACACACAGATGGTTTTGATTTTAATGCCATTATTGGAATTTATGTTGTGACCTTTGCGCACAACCCACCTTTGTCATGTGAGGTTTAAATATATGCAATTTAATGTGATTGTCTTTATTTGTGGAAAAGGGTGTTTGTCTTACCAGTGGGTCCAACATTACACACACCAAATCCATCTGTGTTTATATGAGACAGTGTGCAGGACGCCCTCTGCAGCGCTTACAGCGACACTTGTTGAGGGGCTGCCTTCTGTCGCCATCGTGTGGCATAACTGTCTTCAGACATCACTTGATCTCTTTGACTACTTCACGAAAATAGTAATACGCCTCGCCAGTGGCGGATTTATAGGCGAGAAGAAGAGCTGATGTTATTGGTCAATACAGGTTTCAGCTGTGTTAAACCCACTCCACACCCTCTCCCCTTCCTCCCTACGACTTACTCCGCTGGGAGGAGCTGAGTTAGGGAGGGGGGATACTTATGCCGGACTGCGCCACTCACCAAAATACGAAAATGTGCTTGGGAACGCCTTGTCGACGCGGCAGTTAAGTGCATTAACAATATGTTCAGTATGAAAACAAGGAGTTATTAGTTCTTCATCTATTTTCATCTATTGACCTATTGTCAATCGGTTTAAAAACACATTTGTTCAATAACATATGCAATGTCATCAACTCTGTCAGTTTCTCGTCAACACCGTCAGATGTTCGTCAACACCGTCAGATGTATGTTTTTCTTAATTTTTGGAGAAAAAACAAATTGTTTCTTCAGTTTATATTGTTTAAGTAATAAAGGAGCATTGGCTCTACATCCTCTTGTCTCTTATTTACTTACGGAAATTGTTTTTATAATATAAAAATTAAAAACAAAGTTTGAAAATGCAACTATTTAGAAATCTTGGTTTTCAAAATAGTGTAAAATCACACATTAGGTTTATATATTATATTTCATGGCATATCAGAGTAACTAAACACTATTACAACATACATCAGAACTTTAGATTCTTGTTGGACTAGAATTATTAAAATTATATTCTTTTTAGTGTGTCTGATGGAGTTGACACAAACCCACTGTCTAAGGGAAACATGTTAATTTATAGAAAAATTGTTTTTATTTAGAGCCTGTTCCTTTAAATAGCTAAGACCATTCTCTACAGTAATAAATAACTCTAATCAATATAGTGTGCATTCTCAAAAAAAGTTTTTTAGGAAGTGTTTAGTCCCGACTCTCAAGAATCCCTGATTTAATAAGAAGTAAGAAAAATACAAAAGAGAATTATTTTCAGTAAATTTTTTCAGGTTGTTAATTGCATACTTTACTTATCATCAACAGCAGGTGTTCCAGGATGAATAAAGGACCTCTTGTCTTCTCATACTTGACATTATTTGCAGTGAACAGTGCATGAAGTTGTGTCTGCGTGGGTTAACTCCGGGTGCTCTGGTTTCCTCCCACATCCCAACAACCCCTTACAAAAATAAAAATAAAAAAAACAACAACTTCTGTGTCTGTGTGGGTTTACTCCGGGTACTCTGGTTTCCTCCCACATCCCAACGACCCCTTACAAAAAAAATAAAATTAAAACCGGCCTAACTACAAAATAAAAATCAATCAAATATAAATTTCTTCTTTACAATGGTTTTCTCTCGTTATAAATAATTAATTATTGTTACACTGGTTTAAGCATCCTTACTTGGCTATCTAGCATACTGCAGTCCTGCATTTTTATCTAAAACCTGCAAAACCAACATGTGTGCAATAATACAACCCATCTGAATTATTTGCATTAGGGACCTCCCTAACTTAAAGACCTTGATAGACAGGACCTCTTGTCTCATACTTGGTGTTATTTGCTCAGGACGTCCAGGGGTGCAGGAGGTTGTGTCCCAACCCCTTAAAAAAAATCCAAAAAGGCCAAACTACAAAATAAAAATCATTCAAATAAAAAATTTCTTCCTAACAATGGTTTTCTCTTTTTATAGTTAGTTATTGTTATACTGGTTTAAGTGTTCATGTTTCTCTGAAGTGAAGTTTTAACAAGGTATCAAAGTTACGCTGATGATGGCAGTCACTGAAGCACAGCAATAGATGGTGCTGTTCTGCATTCTCAAGTTACTATGGTTGGATTCTGCAGACTGCAGAAATCTGTTTTACTATTTGTACATTTAATGGGAACATTGTTACACATTATTTTAAGGCATTTGTTTTTCAAATTCAATTATTCTTATTATCAGTTCTGTTTATTCACATAAGTCATATACATTTTTCATTTAGGCTATTAGACAATTTGTACATTAATCCAACTAATTTACCTTCAGCTATATTATAGTTCTTCCATTCATACAATTTCTTCCTCTTCTACTCCACCTTTTTGACAGTTTTTCCATTCATACCTTCTTCCATTTTTTATTGGCAGTTTAGCATTGCTTTTTCGGCTTTCAGCACTCAGCATTTCCACGCATTTCCTGCAAGGAAATGCAATTTTTCTAGTTATTATTATCTTTTATTTTATATTTTTGGAAGTGCTCGTGCCGCCCCCCCATGAGTCATGACACAAATGCCGCCCCGGGCGGTTGCCCTGTTCGCCCGTGTCTAGAACCGCTACTGCATGTAATCCTGGAATCATCTGCAGGTTGTAATGAAGCTCCACTCCTGCATGGGATCTGTGTTACACAGAGACCCCTCTTGTTCCAACAACTGTCGTGTAGTGTTGGGAAGTGACGTAAAAGTGCCTACGGCAATAAAAGCTGGAGTTTTAACGCATTTTGGATTTTAGTCCGATGTTACAGGACTTTAATGTGATTTTAAAGCCTCAGATAAATTTACATTGCTAGAATAAAATGATGAGAGTTTAGCTGAAGTTGGTCTTGCTCCCATGATTTGGATTGTTTGTTGTAAGGTGGTCTTAAAATGCAAACATGGCTGATGTGCAGCAGTCTTTTCTTATCTTGACATACAAAAAAGTTTGGAATATTTGTCAATTCAACCCCAGCCTCGTGTTTAACGCGGTCTGCTGCTTTCTGGAGAATTATTCAAAGACTTTTTAATGTTCCCTGGTCTCTGTGATATGTTTTTGAAATTCACATCAAACTATTTTGTTTCTCAAAAAATTGTAGGGCGGACACCTCATGATTCACAAAAAGCCATAGAAATAACACATAAAATCATGAGTCGGTATTTCATAAATAAACGGCTGTAATTTTAAATTGCAACAAAATACGTGGACCATCTTTGAAAGCAACATCAAACATAACAAGACGATAACAAAAATACAGTCAGTACTTTGTGTGACCGCCTCTAGCATTGTACAATGCGCGTACACGTCTGGGCATGCTGGTCACTAGGTTGGTCAGAGTTTCTACCGGGATTTCTCGCCAGCATTGGATCACAGCCTTAGTCAGTTCAGCCACGTTTGTTGGAGGATCATTCACGTTATTCAGCCCACGTGAAACTTCAGCCCACAGGTTCTCGATCGGGTTCATATCCGGGGACATGGCTGGCCACTCCATGTGTTCCACACCCTCTTGATCCAGAAAATCGCGTATCAGCTGGGTCCTGTGAGGCAGGGCGTTTTCATCTTGGTACACAAAGTTTGCCCCGAAGTGCTGTCTAGCAAATGGGAGCATTTTGGTTTCCAGAATCCGGCAATAGCGGTGTTGGTTCATGTTACCATCCAGGACATGCAAGTCACATTAAGCGGTACTGTGGAATGCACCCCAAACGGTTACCCCGCCGCCCCCAGCTTGTACTCTGGGCAATACACAACCTTCGGCCAGAGACTCATGAGCCTGACGGCGAACCCTCACGCGGCCATCGTGTCGGTAAAGGAGGAAACGCGACTCGTCTCTGAACACCACGTGTCGCCAATGTCCATCCTGCCAGTTCAGGTGGTCATGTGCCCAGCCTAAGCGGGCTTGGTGGTGTCGTCGTTGCAGGAGAGGTTTCCATACTGGTCTCCTCGCAAAATAACCCACGTTCAACAGTCTGTAGCGTACCAACCGGCTCGTGACAGGAGTATTTGTGAATCGCATCCATTCATTACGCAGCTAGGTGGAAGTCTTTGTACGCCCAGTACGAGACAGCCTGTGCAGATAATGATCCTCCCTCACTGTGGTTTTTCGGGGACGTCCAGACCTGGGTCTAGGTGTTGGCACACCTGTCTGTCGATGTCGCTTCAGGATCTTGGACACTGCACCCTGCGTAATTCCCAGAGCAGTGGCTATGGCATTCTGTTTGGCTCCAGCTTGGCGCATGCCCACGATGCGGTTGCAGATTGCGGCACTCAGTTGACGTCTCATAGTCACAGGAACCTTGTCTAAAAAGATCAGGAGCAATCGGACACAGGAAACAAGTGGACACCCTTTTATAACCATTGTGGTGGATGCTGATTTGTTGGTCAAAAATGGGAGTGTCATGTAATCAGGCTCATGTTATTTTTCTCTGACGGAGCAGACACTAATTCTGTATGCCCGCTGAAAGGGGATTATCTCAGCTACATTTTGAGCTAAGACACGCTTCTCTAAACTCCCGTGAGCCGCGCAAAATAAGCATACTCTTAAGGAATAGAAACACTGAAGAAAATATTCCAAACTTTTTTCCAACACTGTATAAAAAAAAATCAACCCATTTTACATCATCATTAGACAAAAGTCTTGTCTTACACAAGACTTTTGTCCAATGAAACTACAGTTCCTTGAGAAACACATTGATCCAAAAATCCACATCTTACAGCAAAAATAAACACATTTACAGAGTACATCAGAGGCTCCCATGAGGCCCACTGTATGAGGGTGGGGGGATGTAACCCAGTCATCTACAAGTTGTTTAGGTTACAAGGTTGCCAAACCAGAGGTTCGGCTGAGTTGACTGACAGGAGAGCACACAATAGCCATTGTCCAGGCCCACCTCTGGTAGGTTGACTGAATGTGGGCATTCAAAGCAGTGGTTCAACCATTAGCTAGCAAGCTAAAGTGTACTCACCAGGAATTACAACAGCTGCGGGGATTTGGTTTACTTTTTCCTTCATCACTCTATCATGACACAAATAAGAGAGCACATCAAATCCACAGACATTCACAACTCCACCAGTTCCTACTGTTTTCCCATCAGTATGTAAATCTGGTTGTAGACCTCCATCTGAGTCCTTGCTTTTCTCCCATATGCGTGTGCATATGTTTGTAGAGGTGTTAAGTCAGTCATTTTTTACAATGTAATAGAAGTTGTATTACCACATTACTGCAGTCAATCTCTTTGTGCATACAGATGATAACAGAGCTGGAGGCAATCTTCATCTCTACGAAACAATGTCCTTAAAGTTTCATCAAAAACACGAGAACACGAGAAAATAGATCACACAATGGAATCATACTACGTCATACCAACATGAAAATACATGACAGAGGTCGCTCTTCTACCTACACTGTCTACATACTTTTGCTAACAATGAAGTTGTTAGCAAAACACACACACACACACACACACACACACACACACACACACACACACACACACACACACACACACACACACAACGAGCACTTTCCATTTCTAATTAGTGGGAATTACTGTTACAGATTCTGCTGGCTAGAGCTATGTATGCAAGCCACACAGTAGGCAAAATAGAGGACTTGTACAAAATATGATGCACACATTATCATGCAACAATTGTGATCTTGGTGTTTCTGTCTTCTGAGCATATTATAGGATTGATATTTAAGGGTGGATTAAATTGATTTAGAATCCAATCATGACCCATGAACTGAATCTTGTGGTTCTGTACTAAACAGAACCTTCAAGTATACACACAGCAACAAGAGCTTTAAGTCTGAATGGTCCCTTAAGTACATTTTACAGTCTCTTTTGAATTATAGGTACAAAATGTTCAACCGTTTTAGCAGTTGGATGCAATTTTTTCTGACAATGAAAGAAGAGTCTCAGGTTATAAAAACAAACAATTAGCTGACTAATGCTAAAACACTGCTGAGGTTGAGCAGAGGTGCCAAAATCAGACAGTGACTCATGTTTGCTCATCATGAAATGAACAGCAAGACATGTGCCTTATAGTCTATGTAACAGGGAAATAGTGAGCGGCCATGTCAACAAATCATTATCTTTGCCTATGACCAAGCGTACTCTTTTACTTTGAAACCTCCAAACATGCTGTTTTGGTCTAAGCTCTAAACAGCAATAATTCCTCACTAACTTCTGAGTGTTGACGAAAGTGCAGAAAAACAGACAACGTGAACGAGTAGCTTGCAGTGTTGAACCCACAGAGAATTATGACCTGAATCTGCAGCTCCCCTCTGTTTTATGGAGCTGTATGCTGAGTTTCAGCTCATTATTAAGCTGTCCAGCCCACAAATTTATTGATTCAGTTCTCTCTTTTGCTCATTGCTGTTGTAGATATACAGTCAGCCACAGTCACAGCTAAAGAGTTAGACATTATACTCAATCATTTTTTACAAACCAAAATCAGAGCTAAAAGAGCGTGTTCATTGGACTTTTATCTGACAGGTGGTTAGAAACAGTAATTTAATGTTGCCAGGGGTGTTTGTTGGCAATTGTTTACTGTGGAAACTTTTGTCAATGTGACATTAATAGTGAGTTTATAACTTGAAGGAAAAATCCTTTATTTTCCTTTATTGCAGGTTTAATTGTCAGAGGAAATCTCTGTGTAAGAAGTGAAAAGAAATGCGAGCATTAAGGTTATGAAATAGATTAGCTGAACTGTTCAGCATCCTTATTGTGTCTCCAGGCAACAAAACTCCTTTTGTTATCACTTCTTTGTTTCACATCTTGTGTTTCCCGTTTTCGTCTTTATAATCAATTTGTTGAGTCTTTATTCAAGGTTAGGATCCTGCAGCCCTGACGGCCTAAACTGAAATGAAACAGTCTGTTCTACAGTGGATTTTCTTTTGACATCACCAGCTCTCCCCTCACCAACTCTGTCACCTAGCAACAGGCATCTACTTGTCTAACTAGCTAACATATCTTGCGTCCTGTTACTAAAATGCCCTTTACATTAAGACCATTTAAAGTTTCGGGGCATCTATTACTCTGAATTGTTGTAATGCTCACTATTCCATGAAGAATATTAGATGTATTTTCACAAAGAACAGTATTCTAAAAAATAAGGACAATAAATATATTTCATATACTGTATTTCTGATGTGATAACAAAAACGTAATTGTGCCCACCAACCTTAAATGTCTGTAACTAGGGCCGTCACGATATGAGCTCATCACGTCATCATTAATGTGGCCATAAGAGTATAGGATAACAACATTTTAACATTTTTTTTTTCCCCTCAAGACTGAGAAGAAAATAATGCTAGTCTATTCAAGGAAAGGCAAGACAAGTGTGTGACATGTTACCTTGTAGAGCTTACATATAAATGCAACTGTCTGACTTACTTGCATGCCTTTAGACATTTCTGATGATGTTTGAGGTGTATCTTTTTTTTTTTTTTCTCTTACAAAAAATTCAAAAGACTTCTTAACTGGCAAAGAAAAATGTTTCACATGATTTGCTCTGCAGATGTAGCCACACACTGCAGTGAAGACTTGATGGCTGAGTTACTGAGACCCTTGTTCACATATGTGGATATTTTTGAAAACCCTTAAGTTACTGTGTGGATGGCAAAGCAGAGTTCTTGTGAAACCCTTATTTACTTGCAAATGGAAGTGTTAAGACCACTGTTTCCAAATGCTGCTTGCTCAAGAAGACTCACTATCTGCAAGCTCCCAGTGTTCCTCTATGATGTTTAGGTGTGACAAACTGATCATGCAGTATCTCCACTGACTGGTCTGGTAATGCCTATATGAGCATAACTAACCATGTTTTTTCCATTGTTGTGTGGACAGAGAAATTTTCAACTGGTGTTGACAGGATTCTTTTTTAAAAAGGAGGGAAAAAAACAGTTTTAAAAATGTACGGATGTGTGTATATAGCCGAGGTCCTCTTCTGCTGCTGGTTCTTCTCCATCTTCCCTCTGTTTTACAGCAGGTAGTAACCCCCCCCCCCCTAAAAAACACCACTGACCTAATGAATTAAACAGCACTACCATTTGCTTATTTTAGACACATTATCAACACATCTGATTTTGATAGCCAGCTATCAATACTGGTATATTGCAACAGCTTTAACAGAGGCTATGGTCTAATGTCTGTTATCAGCATTAAGGACTAAGTAATGCTGTGTGTCCTTAGCTCTTAAATAAGATGTTTTTTTTCCTGTTCCCCCTGCCTGCATCATGGTATAAATTGCTCAGTTAGTGACTGTTGGTTGTATACTACTTCTCACACTTTAATAAGACCTTTTTAAATGTTATAGTTATTTAATTCTTTTTATTTGCACAGCACTACAAAGTGGCAAAACCTTTTTTTGTGTGTGTCGTTAGAAGTGGGTGATTTTGAACTCAATTTCTGTGTGCCCTCCTCCTAAGCCAGTCTGTCTTGTTCCCTCTTACCAACGTTCCCACTTTCCCTTGTGTATTTGTAACCTTTTCCATCTGACCTTTTTGACTTTACCTTTTCCTCACAGAGCTGGATACCTCTGCCTGCTAGGCTGATCTCTTGTGTAATGAATCCTGCTTTTAATTAAACAGACTTTGATTTTGCATCCTTTCTCATGGTCTCACATTTGAGTCCTCACCTTAGCTCAGTATTGACACTCATCTGGTGATTAATTTGTTGTTGTGTTTTTTATCACACACTGTGTGGTTTTATGGCTCATCACTTGGACCAACCTTTTTCACATCACATTCATCTCAACCATCATTTATACTTGAGACAAAATATTGATTATCTTTTTTTTTTTTAAAGCACTTTCTCACTCCAGTTTTACCTTAATGATCCAAAGAACAAACTGTTTACAGTTTTCAAGGAGGAAGTAGTCCCACTGAAAACTTTTTCCAGTCTGTACTTTAAATTGGCAGGACAAAAAATGGTGATTTATTTCTGGTCTGGTTGAAACTGGACCTTTAAGATACATGCAAACTTGTTATTCCAACTGAATTCCCAGAGTCAAATTTCTCAAAACTAGCATTGGTAAAATGGCAGCCATTCTTGATTTAGTCACATGTTAGTCATTTATGTCTGATATAGTTTTGGTTTAGTTTAGTCAATAAAAGTCATTACATTTTAGTCATTACTTTTAGGTTGTACCACATTTAAATCTGCGATGTGTCACTCTCTTAGCACTTTACCAGGCTGCAGTATAGGTCATAAATCCCCCCTCCTCTAGCAGCCCCTATGGAGCTGTGGACAAACTTTAGAGATTAATTTCAAAGAATATAAATTTTTCTCCCCCCTTGGTGCAACGTTGACATGTAGTTACTATAAGACTGGTTTGTGCTCAAGTCCTCTTTTTTCTGTACAGCTCTATTCTTAAAAGTTACTAGGGGCTTCATGTTTTCTACGATTGACCCTTGATACAGCATATGAGCGTACGAAGATTGCTAAGGTCACCTGGGGGATACGCTGTTTGAGCATATACAGTCTATGGTACAGACACTCCACTCACTGTGCTCTCAGCTGCATCCTAATTTTCAGTGTTTCCGTTAATAACATTTTACTAAATTTGCCCTCTAACACATGTCCAACTTAGGATAACAAAGTTGAGACAAGAAGGTGTTAACGGCCAAAAACATCAAACGCCCTTTAACTGATATAGCCCTGGTAGCAAGTTTTGTCTTATCAACATGCATGAAAAAGACTTAAGAAAAGAAAATGAGAGGAAAGCTTGTAGGCAGAACAATTTGTAACAATGGTGCACTTTCTTTAGTCAAATGGCAAAAGTAACACTACACCCCACAACCTGTTACAGGAATCAGTAGTCATATTTCAGGTGACATATTTTATGGGCAAGGGGGGAAGTATGATCATTTTGTCTTGTCACAATTTGTTAAAGAAACGAAACCTTTATTTGCCAAAGATTTGTCATCAAAAATGCATTTCAGCTTGTCATTGTCTAGACTTTGTCATTGAAAAAAGTGTCATTGATGAACAGTTATCATCATATTTTTT